CTCGAGTGCATCACCTGCTAGAGCAGTCCGGTATCCACTATTTCTGTATTACCTAGTCTTCTTCAGTAACTTACGTCGAGTCTGAGAGCAAGTACTTGTGAGCCAAGGCTGCTACAGTTACTTACTACTGCCCTTATAGAGTTTACCTAAACTCCGGTATACCTACAGACTTTTCTTGGTTTCTCAGCTATTCCAAACTACCAATCCAGATGGCCTAGAAGGGCTATAACCTGTTTCTGGTTCTTATGATTGGGTCCTTTCCTCTGGTTACTTCTCTGGTAGCCTGGTTAGTGAAGTGTTTTGCCAAACACTTCAGCCCCATTCAGTTTATCTGGTTCTCCAGGTATTAATCTGCATGTAGTACCGTCAAAGATCTGTACTACCTCTCTATTCAGAACTTTCTAAGTGAGCACCCCACTGCCGTATTGGCCCTGTAGCTTTCTGTGATCCCGAAGAACTTATCTTGGGTTTGTACTGACTAAACTGGCTTACATACCTTTGTATAACTCCTTTATTACACAAATGCTTCAGAACCTTCCAATTTTTATCTTAGTACGACCACAGTTACAAGGTCTCGAGTTTTCCCAGCCATAACAATAGTTGCTGAATCCATTTTTCTAAATTTAATTTTTCGCCTTTTGTGGAAATTGAACTTATACTTTACCACTTGGAGGTGTGACAACTTCATCACTTCACTAAGTTGCTATACCCCTAATAAAAATTTAAAATAAATAAAAAGAAAATAAGAAAATAAGAAAGAAGCTATCATATATAGATAATAAATAGCAAAAGAAAAAATTTTATGTAAAAATTTAAGAAACAATTTAAGAAAAAAGATGTTGAAAATCACAAAAGATAATAGTTATGAGTTCTGTCATTATTATTAAAAAGGGCATTATTTTTTGGTGCACCCCGCACCATGTGCGGGGTTATAGTTAACCAATCGAATCTTTTATTTAATTTCACGTGACACAACATTTGTGTAACTGCTATACCAATTTTAGGCTAATGCTATGGACACAACACTCACATGATAAACCCAGTTATATAGCCTCTAACTCTAACCCTAACTCTAAGCCCCCCTAACCTTAACTCTAATGCTAACTCCAGCATATTTATGCACATAAGCACTTGAAATGTGTGTCTGTAGCATTCCCTCAATTTTATTAACTACCCCAGTATCGCCATAAAATTTTTACTGTTACGTGACGATCTACAGTATCTAATCCAATAGCGAGCCTCGCTTTGATGTAACATTACACGATCCGAAAGATCAAAACAAAACGTTCGTTTTTTAAAAATCGCTTATTTCTCAAAAATTTGCATAAGAAACCACCATTTGCGCTCTAACAAAAAAAATTTCTCGGGCAATTTTACTATACGCCAGCTAATTTCTAACTCTATAATAAGCACTAACCCTAACTTAAATGAACTTCAACATTGTCACGTGAAAGTAAAATTTTTATGGCGATACTGGGGAAGATAATTTTATTACACTTAATCACATGATACACACTATTTACCACTATATAGTACAAAAATTCTACGAACGAAAGTGTGCAAATTCATTTACATACCTAATTGCTAACTACGAATTATGCGAATTTGCATTATCCCTAAGCACTGTCTGCGTGGCTCACCACTTTCAGAATGAATTAACCATCGTTATTATAATTCATGATTTTCTGTCCCAAGTACTAAGTACTGCAGTGCTATGCATTTCGTATGATCATTTATCCTTCTCAACTACGATAATAACCTTTAAATTTGGTATATGAAAGTATGTAATGCATAAATAATCAAGCATGTGTAGTAGAAATTTAGTATGTAACTTATAGTTCGTAAAAAAATTTTTTATCTATAAACTATACCAACCATAACCGAAAAAGGACAATATTAGCACTCACCCTAACCCTAACTATCGAAAAGGGATCACTTATAAAAGATAAATTTTATAAGTTTTGCTAACTATATATGCTTTTGTAGATTTTCTTTACAAAAAATAGAATACATTACTTACATATAAGATGAACTTTCTCAAAACTTATACCACCTGTGGTTAATAATCGCTGTAATCGCTGTAATCGCTGTATCAAGTGTATCTCAGATAAACTGTTTCTTTAAATAAAATGGTTAGCTCTCACTAAATATATTGCTGCCTAGACTTTTTGAGAAAGCAATGCTATTTACGGTCGTTGCCTATAAGAAATTATCACAAAATTTCAAACCAGCATCTTACACAATGTCGATTTACTAGAGTACAAGATTAAATATTTTTCACCAATTCAGACATAACACCACTGAATATTTTTGAAGCCATAAGAAAGATTAGTAACTTTTGTATTCATAATAAACGATAGTTAACTTTTTATTCTGGCTGCATTGGCATTAATAAATTTATCGAGAAATAGATATATTCAGCTGATATTAAAAAATTTGAATAGCCCAAAACATTACATTCGTCACGAGAAATGAGAATCATCAATTCATTATTAATTCACATACAAGCAAAAACTTTACGAATCTAAGCAAAAGTTAAATTACTCAATATTATCCATTTCAGCACCTGACTCAGAACCACTTGAGCCAACCCATTCATTCTCATTTTCCTCTATAAGATCATGATTATGCAATTCTTTTTTATGGCCACACCCACCGCAAAGTTCACATATAATCCCAGAATCGTAGCTTTTATTTTCATGCTTGGAATGCCATCGACGATTATGACCTTTACCACCACATTCGCCACACGTATTAGTTCCAGGGCCACGTGGTCGTTTTTCTTGAGCTTTTGACGATGGATTCTCAAGCGATGACTGATAACGTGCTATTTTTGGTGGTCGCCCTTTTCTAGCTTTCTTGACAGGATTAGAAACTTGAGATTTCTCAGGGATGATATTTACTTCAGGACGTTCTTTAAGAACGTTTGTTTTGTAACCAGAGGAGGATGCCTCAGTTGTATTTTCAACAAGAGAACGTTCATTTTGAAGAATATAACCCTTTAAAAACTTAAGAACGTGTGGATCATCCTTTTCAATTGCGATATTTATTGCTTTTCGTGCAATTCCAATAGTTTCAGCATAAACTTTTTTTTTTTGCATTGCCTTTTTAGCAACGACAGACGTCGAAAGACGAGTCATAGTTGACATTGCATTTTGTGCAGAAAATAAGTTGGCAGATTCATTTGACCGTAATATAGTAGTTGGAATTAATGACTTAGATGGTTCGGATAAAAAAACTGTAGACAGATTAACAAGAGGCTGTATACCAAGATCATTATCTTGATATTTTTCAAGCAACCAACGCTTTGCCACAAAATTAATAGAAAATTTTGCGGCAGAAGAGTACGCCATAACCCGGAAAAAATGCCTGCATGGATATCCACGATTGACTAATAACATACAACTGCATATATAAGAACCATCTTTAAGCAAAAATACGTGAAGCCGGGAATGTTGCCAGGTCATATGTATTATTTCCCAAACTTCAACTACTTTGTCTTCGACTTCTTTGAAGAGCGCAAAAGAGTGAGCCAATGGATAATCAAACGCATTGTCGACGAATGCTTCGTCATTATCTTGCACCTATAATAATGAATAAAAATACAATTAGATCTAATGTATTGTTTTGATAACAATTGCTTTAACTAACATAACCTTTGACAAGTTCATTTTACTGATAACAGGTTTACCAACAATACTTTACCAAAGATATTTATAGAATGGTCTCACTAATTTATATTTGTCAGTAAACTGGTTATCAGTAAAATGAGCCTATTGTTAATAAATGTAATTTAAATAATCAGAATGAATACCACTATATAACATAGTAAAAGTAATAAAGTGATATTTTCCTGACATAAATGTAAAGACTCTGGGTGTATTTTAGCAGAATGGTAAAATAGGCTATGGTTTATTTCGTAACGAATTTTTTCAATTAAATTTGGCGCAACGAAGGTTTTGAGAATGGTGTCAACATTTGTATACATAGTATCACAAACGTTTGGTGGTTTAATGTTTGGATTTGAAGATTTCCAACTAATAAAGTCATAATGATAGTCTTGGCTAGCGATCAAGAAGTCAAGCGAATTAAACAAATCGTACAAAGTTGTATAGCCACGGCTTATAATAGATTTGATATGCGAATTAATTGACTCAACGCGACTGGTTGCTTGTGCACCGGCAGTAAAGTGACGAAAGGTATATGCTCTTGCCCAAGATTGTCTATCAGGATATAAAGCTCTGTTGAGATATTGATTTGCTTTTGGATAACGTTCTTGCAAAGATTTAAACCGATTTTCAAATATTTTTGGATCCAATACATTCCGGGTTTTATAAAAATCCTTGATGAATGAATCCCAATCAGATCCTAATTTGCTTTTAAGTTTTTTTTGTAAGTTCTGACCAATGTGCCAGATACAATGTAAATGCTGAGTTGAAGGCCAAATAGTGGAAATGGCAAGTGTCATGGCGGGGTCAGCATCTGTCAAGATGCTATTTGGATAAAGCCCATCGGTAGCTTTAAGTAAGACATCAAGTAACCAGGAATATGAGCCTGCTGTTTCATCGTCCAATATTGCTTGTGCAACAAGGCGGGATCGGTAAGTATTATCTATAATGATAAAAAGGGATAATGGCATATTATAAACATTGGTTTTTGCTGTGTTATCGTGAAGGACAATGTCGCTATACCGCATCCAAAGATCAAGTTGATTTGGTGACATCCAAAAAAGATGTGTCAAAGCACTAGTATCTGGATCAAAACGCCATTCAATGACCCATCTTGAATCCTCCTCCTTTTTTTTAAATAGTTTAGACAACAACTGTGATGCATCATTGTCACTATAAGAATTCTTTTTTTTAACCTTTGTAATTGCGTTATATAAATTGCTACGATGAATAGAAACTTTGTACTTTTCCAGAAGAAGTCGGTACTGAGCACTTGCATTAATTTTTCCTGATAAAGTATAAAATTCAATATCTTTTAACATCTCATCAGTAAGCTTTCGATTTTTGGGAATAAATTGTATGGTGGTAGGATCGGGAGTATGACCAGTATGAGTGCTTGTAAAGGTAGATATACGATATCTATTTGAACGCTTATTCCAGTATATATTGACTTTCCATTTACAATCAGTTCGGCATGAGCCAGATTCTTCTGTTTTATATGATTTGTTTTTGTCTGACGGTTTTCCAGCATGACGACATATGAATGACCTTGAAATTTCACGCCCATTACTTGAATCCTTTTCAACACGTCCCTTCCGAATTCCGAATCCATTTGAATGAGCAAAGGACTCAACTATAACATATGCTTCCTCAGCTGTTTGAAACGTTTGTCCTGATAACATAAAATGTTGTAAATTTGTTTTTTGATTTCTAAAATTACAGAGCTTACAAATGAAACGCTCACAGCAAAATCAGGGGATGGGACTATATATTGTATAGTCCCATCCCCTGATTTTGCTGTGAGCGTTCCAAATGCTTACCTTCATAAAGCTCTAATTGTTCTTCAAATTCATTATCGGATTGTTCGTCCGACTCATCATTTATACAATTAATGTTAATATTTGAAGTAGTTAAACACGTGGGTTGTTGTTGCAAAGCAGGTCCATTGATCAGTGAAATGGTTGTAGGCAGAATACTGTTGGATAAAGGATCAACATTTTGTAGTTCCATTCGAAACTATTCAAAAAACAAAGACTTTAAATAATGCATTCATAAGGGCAATCGAAATTTTAAATCCTGCGGAATATTTAAGTGTAAAACCGTAACATGCTTGCCTTTTTGCAAATTATATCCAGAAATAAATAGCAGCAAAAGCGAACGATTTCAGAAAACTATTTAAAGATTTTTAATACTGTATTCAAGTTACGATAACAGAAACAAGATATCACTGCATATTCAAGCATAAAACTATAACAGACTTGCCTATCCACAAACTTTTCACAAATTATGTCCAGAAAAAATAGCAAGCGCGAACGATTTCAAGAAACTTTTAAAAGATAAGACTTTATTACTGCATTCAAGTTATGATAATAGAGGCAAGATACTACTGAATATTCAAAAGCAAAAGTATAATGGGCTTGCCTTCTAAAAATTATGACTGGAAATATAATAACAGCGAACGAGCGATTCCAAGAACCTATTTAAAGGTAAAATTGTTAATATTCATTCAAATTATAATAACAACCATAAGCTAAAGTTAGTTACTGCAGAATATTCTGTAACTTAACTGGCTGGCCTTTCCACAAAAAATCCGTCCGAAAATAAATACAGCGAATGCGAACAAATCCAGTTCAATAAATATAAGGAAAATAGACGGTTGTGGTCACCTGATATTCGTCTGATAACTTTTGCTTCACACCCGCTTAAAATTTTATTATTTTAGTTTTCTTCGATTTGCACTAACCTAAACTCCTCATTTGCAACGAAAAAAAAGTAATAAATACCGGCTGATGCTTTTACAAATAACCTGTACACGCACTTTTATTAGTTACTACACCTAAGCGAAAGAAAAAGTCTGTCAATTTTAATCATGCCCCCCTATTTATAGTATGTTGCACATCTTTATCCAATTAGGCAAACAATGGACTGATTGCCATTTAAACTATAGCCGTGTAACATAGGGTTACATAAAAATTATTATAGTATATTATAGTATTATGCACTTTATTTTGGGTTACACCGAATAATCGTGCAACATATAGTCACATGGTTTAGTCATACTTATCTACCCCGCACATGGTGCGGGGTGCACCAAATAAATTTATTCTATTAAAAAATATATAAATATAATTAGTTTAATTAATTTATTATACTTATAATTTAAACTTATATGCTTATATTTTATAAGAAAACTTTTATATAATTGACTATTTAAATCTTTTTTTTATTTTTTTTAATGTTAAAGTGAGGTTATGCCTCTGATTTTTATTAACATATACTTATTATGACAAGTTTTTATATATTATTAATAAAACACTATAGAGACTTAGACTAATTTATTTATAATCCAAACCTACTAAAGTGTTTCATGCTCTACATATATCTCACCTAGCTTTGCGTTTTTGAACTAACTATTTTTAGTAATATCACATTTTTTCCACATCTTACACAACTAGTCATAACTTCTAATTTGGAAGATGGCTAAAGCTACAGCATATACTCATGTAATTTTAATGTTTAATTAAAATTAAAGTTAGAATTAGAGTTAGATTAGTATTGATATAAAAAGAAAGATATAGGTAAAATGGCCTTCCTGATATTTTTAATTAATGCTCTATATTGAGAAATTTTTAAATAGGGTGAATATCGATTACTAGCTACAGAAACATTTGTAATCAATTAAAAAAATTTTAATTGATATACAATTGATAAAAAATAATTAATTTTAATTTGTTTTGATGCTAATTAATTTATAATTAAGTGATACTAATCAATATTAATTAATTTTAATCAATTTTAATCAGAAATAATTAATTCTAATCTATATTGCTAGCAATTAACAGAGATGCTGCTTATCGATTAACATTCTGTCTGTCAATTGATTATCAACCAATTTAAAAATTTCCTGATATAAGATAGGTTTAGACTGCTATTTCTTGTCTTTTTATATTTTTTTTTATTTTTTTAACTTTTTTAAGCTGATTCATATAAACAAAATTTTGCAATTCTGATTAGTTTATTTATACAAAATAGTTACATAGATATATAGCTTTAGATAGTGCTTCTACAGACCAGACTTGAAATAGACTTTAGTCAAGTTTTGAGTCTGATCTGATTTTCAGACCAGACTCAGACTTTTATATTTAGACTTTTTAGTCAAATCTGAGTTTGGTCTGGTCTAATTTGAAGTCTGCAGACTGGTCTAAGTCTGAATATATTTATATGTATTTTTTGAAACTCTGAACTATGACAAAATTCTGAAACTTGAGAAAATTGAAAATTTAATAGTTTGATATCATTCATTCTCAACAATCATTCTTCTAATCAATCCCTCACCAACTTTTTGAAAACCTCTTCGTCAACACAATCACCTATCTGACAACTATTTACTTGACAAACATTTCTCTAACAACTATTCTATTTTTTATACTACTACTTATCTGATAACAATCTCTTCCCTAATGGCAATTCTTTCTTGACACTACCCTTCCTCCGATACTACTTTTTTCAAATACCATTCTTCCTGATACCACCTTCACTGATACTCTCTTTCTAAATACCACTCTTTCATGGCCTTACCCTTCTCAACACCACCTTTCCATTTCCTGACTCCACTTATTTCAAATACCATTTTTTTTGAACATTCTTTTTGACACCTCTTTTTTAATATAACCTTTCCCAATACC